GGGGGGGGGTTACTGGTCCAGTGTGAGTGTGTGTTCGCCTAATAACAATACAGAGTGTCCCCTCATATTTGTGTCCACAGATGCATCCGTTATAAATGCGGAAAAACCTAGTTGGTGTTTCTGTGATCAGGCCAAAGCCATGTCTAATTTAAAAGTATTGCTTTGGTGCCAACCACAGTCAACCCGCCTCCATGGCAGGGGTTCCGTTCTCGACCAATAATAGGATACGGCATCATAGAAATACTCTATTTCGGCATGATTTTGGAACTCAACTCGGCTGTCTTTATAGAGCACTTTAAAACATTTCTGGCAAGAGCAATACATGAAACCAAAATATTGTACAAACTGTGTACCGATCCCGTTTGTATTTACAAGGACACAAAGCCTGTTTTGTTTTGTTCTTTCCCAAAAGTTAATCAATATAACTTCTCATCTGACAATATACATCAAGTATCGTGTCCAAGGATGCACATTTGAAAGTTAAAGTCCAGCATCAAAAGTAGGACAAAGATGATCTTCAACAAAAAACGAGGCTGAGCTGAAATACTTTTCATTCTTCCTCTTTCAAATTTAGTGTCAAACAAAATGGGGTGGTGTCATCTAGTGGCCGAAAAGGGAATTACATCTACAACCTGCCGTAATGCACGCACTACAATTTTAAATAATTATGTCCTCAGAAACTTTTTTTGTACTTTACTATTGCATTAATTATATTTATTGTAAAAATAAATTATATTCTTTTTTTTCCTTTTCCCCCTCCCCAGTTCCCAGACATGCTCCCAAGTGTGTTTTCATGCTCCAGTATTAGGTCTTGAACCCGCTTGTCGACGACACAGCGACGTTGAAATCTTTGAGCCGACTAGACTCTAATCGTGTTTTATTTTTTTGATTTTTTTTCCCTTCCCTTCATCTCATCATTCAATCGGCCAAGTTGCAAAAGACTTTTGTACAACCCACACTAAGGACCATAAATGCAGTTTCATTAATTAGGACATCATTGTTGACTTTTTTTTTTTTTTTTTAAACTAGTACTCAGTGCTGACATGACGAAAGTGCAAAACTCGCCCGTTTGGCCCCTTTCGTGTTGGTGAGGAGTCCAAAAATGTTCCATTTGGTGCAATAATCTTGTCACACATCTTTCATACTAGACAATGTTTTTCGCAGTATTGTTGCGCTCGTGTTTTGATAAATGTGTGTATATAGTGCGTGCGTGCGTGTTTGTGTGGCACCTCTGGACCAAAGAATATGAATGATGTCATTCATTTCAGCAACACAAAGAAAATAAAAAGCACTTCACGCTTCAAATGATTGTTACATTCATCTGACGTTTTATTAGGCACAGAGGTACCTAATGGAGCAGCTGTAAAACATTCTGTAAATATACCTCAAGTTTAATTAGTTTCTTCTTCTTTTTTTTTTTTTCTCCTCCCGAAAACAGACGTAACATGTTCACAGGCATATTGGAAGATGCGGATAACAGTGCGTCGTTCTGAACAGGTGCGGTTATTCAATGTCGGGTTGCGCCCACACATTCTCACAACTCCATCTCAATAAATTAGAATATGGTAGGCGGGGAAAAAAGTACAATTGAATAGGTAAAACCTGTAGATGTTCAGAAAATGTTTTTCGAAACGACCATTTCTATTCAATCAAGCATCCTTTCAGTTGTTTCTTAATCACCAAAATTATTTTTTTTTTGAATTCACCAAACATTTCTTTCTTTGTGTAGTGAATTTCACTTTTTCATCAGTTTCCCTATTTTGACTTTCTGTACTTTTTTTTTTTTTTTTTAACGCTCTACACTTTTCCAAAAACCTTTTTCACTTTATAGAAATCTAAATATTGTATGATTTTATTTGATGTTTTTGTCCTAGTTTCACAACTTTTTCAGTTTCCCCTTTTCCACTGTTTTGGCTCATCATTCACTCCCCAAATTATGGTGTTTTAAAAAAAAAAAAATTAAACAGTCTAGTTGCTTTGATGCCCTTGCATGCGGAAAAGAGATCCACAGTTCTCAATACATTTTATTTTTCAGCTGGAAGAACAGTAAAACACAATGCGCACGCTCACCCGAGGCCTGCTGTCGGCCACAGCTCACGCCCAGACACGAATGCAAAGGGACTACTGCTCAGATGCCCTTGTCATTCATTAACAAGTCAACAAAAGTCACCCACATGCGCATATTGTCATGTTGTTCCGACATTGGGTGAAATGAAAGGTGCAAAGAAGTGGCTGTTGGGTTGCTATGATAACTTTCTCATGCAACTAAGCCGAAACATAAGGCCGTTTTGTTCAATAGAGACGTGATTTTGTATGGAAACATTGACATGAATGGACTGTGCTTGGTTTGAAGTCATTTTTCCTCTCGCTGCCATCATCAATATAAAATCAAGACATGTAAATAATGTCAACACGGTTTGGTGAAAAAAAAAAAAACTTTGTCTATATAGTTGTTCATTTTAGTCCTGCATGGTTGTTGTGGAATGTCCAAAAGTTGTGTAATAAAGACGAAACTGACACGTTTTTTTTTAGAGTGAGGCCGCCATCGACCCGTCCGACATGGAATCTCTCTTCCCCAAGAACGTCCAAGACGTCCGGTCTGGCTTCTCGCCGCCTTGTGACGACGGTGCAGAGTGTCCCCCCGCCGAGGACGAAGATGCCGAGATGTCTCAGCAGGTACGGCGAGATGTCCTCGGTCGTACGTGTGGACGTGTTGTAATGATTACGGTGGCTTAGGTGACATTGGAAATGGTCCACGCTCCCGCCGCCGAGGAGAAGAACGCAGAGGCCGCCAAGACCTTTAAGGTTAACTGCGACCAGAGGAACGTCAGCGATGTGGACACCTTGGCCGTTAACGTCCTCAACGCATCGCAGGTAACACGCCTTAGCCGCGCACACCGGAACACTTTTCAGTGAGGGTGATACAGTGGACTTGTACAACTCAATTGGGGGGAAGAAAGGGAATTTTTCTTGAGCTGGGGAGTAAGAAGAAAGTCCTGAGATAACGTGGTTGCGTTAAGTGTGCACACCCACTATTATCCGAAAGAGTGACTTTGGTGTTCCCTTCAGGACCTGATGGAGTTCTTGAGCGTCAACGGCAGCGAGTGCTCCGTGGTGCTCTTCTTCACGGCCTGGTGCCAATTCTCGGCCGGCCTGGCGCCGCACTTCAACGCATTGCCTCGAGTCTTTCCTGCCGTGCACTTCCTGGCCCTGGACGCCTCAACGCACAGCAGGTGACCGCCGCCAACTCTGCCGGACGCGGCCGCGTGTCTTCAGTGTCCGCGAGAATGCGGAGTAAACGGCTGGCAAACAGTTAGTGCAGTTCCACTCATATCCTCTTGGGGGTAGCAATGTGCATCTCAAAAGCGCTGCCAGCCACCAGTCAGAGTGAGTTAGTTATTTAATGACAGTGTGTGCATAAAACAGTGAGTGAGTGAGTGTGTGTTTGTGTGAGAGAAAAGTGAGAGCATGTAAAAGTGTGACTGCCCCCTTTTGGAGGCATGCATGAATTCCTCTGACTGGCTCGAGGAAAGGTGGCCGTTTCCGTGCCAATGCCAGCGCAAAGGACACAAGCAAGCCACAGCCCCGTGTAATAAAGACGAAACTGACACGTTTTTTTTTTCACCTTTCTCTTTTTATTGCTTATGCTGCCGTTGTAAATATTAAATAAAAAGACATTTTCAGTATTATTTCAATATTTAAAAATGCCACGACATGATGGAAAACCATTTTGAATAATAAATCACAAAAGAATTATGAACTTAAGTGAAAAGGGGTTGTTAAAAAAAATAATTACTTTTATGACTTTATTTGTGACCATATTAGGAAATGTCTTCCCCAAAATGACTTGTTTCTCGTTTTTTTAGAGTGTGTATCTAGCATCTCCATCAAATTATTACCGGATTCTTTAAATTTTAACGGGTGGGCCGTAGAATGTCCTCCGATTCTGGAATGACACAATTATAGCTTATTTGTATGTACAGTACTGTACAAGGTTTGTCACAAAAGTTATAAAACATGTTGGAAAAATACTAATCAAATCCGGGGTTTTCAGTGATTAGTTTATTGTTGGATATTGATCCAAAATGTGTTAATCGAATTGAAAAAATAATAATAATTTCGCTTCAAATGAGAATCCGTCCACAAACGGATGTTGGGAGATGGTGTCACATTTTAAGCCGTCCGCTGTCGGACTCCTAAACCGAGTTCCGCTTCGCTAAATAGTAGCCTTCGACCTCGCCAACATGTCTTAACTGTAGCGACGCGCAACTGTGACCCATTTCGGAAAGAAACATGTCGAGGACCGTTTCGGCGAGTTTTAAACTGTCTTCAATTTTATTGTTCGTTTTGATGTTGAGCTTTAGGACGGCGACATCGCAGGGTAAGTGACGGCGAGCTTAGCAGTCGTCGTGCTAGCAAAACGTGACGCTTCGGATGGCAACTTAACGCTCGTGATTCTCCTTCAAGAAGTCGTTTCGCACAAATTATTCATTGAATCGCTTAGTTGCCGCGACGTGTAATGGGCGTTTGCGTCGAACAGTCTTGGGAATCAGTCGTCACTGGACACATTGGACATAAACTCGGTTGAACGCTCAGGTTTTACAAACCGGTTGCAAACACATCTCATAGATGGAATAACTATGTCGGAAATCCATTTATTTGTTTCCATTTGTGATCAAATCCCTAATTGACATCCAAAAATTGTTGTAATTGCTGATATCAACGGTTCAAAAATTGTAAATGTACCATAAAACTGAATTGAACTGAAAAGCCTCAATTGGTAACTTTGTAAATAGCAAACCTCAAACAGGTCAGTCATTGTTGGACAAGCAATCAAAAAGTGAACTTTCCGTAATTCAATGAACGAGCCTTGCCGCGAGTCATGAAAAGCGATGATGGCAAAGCATTATTTACCATGACCCTTTGAACTGTACGTATTCTTTTCTCAGAGAACGATAAGTCCACGCTGTCCGAAGAGGAATGGGCAGCGACGTCGCACTCAGAGGGCATCCCCGAACTTGCGGAGGGCGAGGATCCGATGTTCCTCAAGCGTCAGTTCAAAACGGCTGAGATGGCCGATGCCGTGATGGGGAGTGAGGCCGCCATCGACCCGTCCGACATGGAATCTCTCTTCCCCAAGAACGTCCAAGACGTCCGGTCGGGCTTCTCGCCGCCTTGTGACGACGGTGCAGAGTGTCCCCCCGCCGAGGACGAAGATGCCGAGATGTCTCAGCAGGTACGGCGAGATGTCCTCGGTCGTACGTGTGGACGTGTTGTAATGATTACGGTGGCTTAGGTGACATTGGAAATGGTCCACGCTCCCGCCGCCGAGGAGAAGAACGCAGAGGCCGCCAAGACCTTTAAGGTTAACTGCGACCAGAGGAACGTCAGCGATGTGGACACCTTGGCCGTTAACGTCCTCAACGCATCGCAGGTAACACGCCTTAGCCGCGCACACCGGAACACTTTTCAGTGAGGGTGATACAGTGGACTTGTACAACTCAATTGGGGGGAAGAAAGGGAATTTTTCTTGAGCTGGGGAGTAAGAAGAAAGTCCTGAGATAACGTGGTTGCGTTAAGTGTGCACACCCACTATTATCCGAAAGAGTGACTTTGGTGTTCCCTTCAGGACCTGATGGAGTTCTTGAGCGTCAACGGCAGCGAGTGCTCCGTGGTGCTCTTCTTCACGGCCTGGTGCCAATTCTCGGCCGGCCTGGCGCCGCACTTCAACGCATTGCCTCGAGTCTTTCCTGCCGTGCACTTCCTGGCCCTGGACGCCTCAACGCACAGCAGGTGACCGCCGCCAACTCTGCCGGACGCGGCCGCGTGTG